ACATTACTGGCATGACAAGGAGATCCCACCTGAGAAACAGCAGCTGGCTATGTGGAGATGTTGCAGCGGGCATCCCTCATGACTGAGGGCCCTCGTCTGTGTGGTAATGATTGGGTTTTTCAACAGGACAATGCTGCAGTTCACAATGCCCGCCTGACAAAGGAGTTCTTCCAAGAGAATAACATCAATCTTTTGGACCATCCTGCATGTTCCCCGGATCTAAACCCAACTGAGAACATTTGGGGATGGATGGCAAGGGAAGTTTACAAAAATGGACATCAGTTCCAGTCAGTGGATGGCCTTCGTGAAGCCATCTTCAACARTTGGAGCAACGTTCCCACTAGCCTCCTGGAAACACTGGCATCAAGCATGCCTAAACCATTGTTTGAAGTCATCAACAAGAATGATAGAGCTACTCATTACTGAGTCCTTTTTTTGACACTTTGTTTTCTGTTTTGGGGGATTTTCAGGTTTTTTTTGAGCTATGGTCTTAAACTTTTGATCAGCTGAAAAAATCATGTTTGAGTGTAAATGCAGTTTTCAGAAAATTCCTGCTCAAAAGTTCTTGTCTCTTGCWCTGATTTCTTCTTTTAACATTGTGAAGCTCTACTTAGAACCTTCTTAAGATCCAATAGGGCAAAATGCAAATTCTTGCACTTTTTTGACTGGTCTTAAGATTTTGATCAGGAGTGTATGTGTGTGTGTGTGTTTCGATGTATTTGTGTGTTCAGAGTGCGTTGTGTCGACCCACCATCATACTCTTGCAGCAGCTCCACAGCTGTGAGCAGCACCGCTCTGTGCTGACCATCTGTGATGTTCAGCTCATCCAGGTCCTCCTCCTCCAGCAGCTGGAACGTCTCCAGGTCCTCGTAGCCGTTAAACAGGAAGGTGGGAAGATGCTCCTGCCGAGATGTGAAGAGGAACCATGCAAATACAACTCTGATCAGAAAAAAAGGAAATTACCCAAAGTCCTGCATGCCACAATCATGTCCTTTTTGTGGATTTGTTAAGTGTCTCATATTTCCTTCAGTAGGACAGTGATGTAGCTTCAGTAGAGCCTGTAGGTGTCATCTTTATTTCAGAAAATACACCAGAAGTCAGCCTCACATCAACCTGGTCCTGTGGGCCACGGAACTGGACCGAACCAGACCCTGATGGAGCCTGTGTTTCCCTGTGGAGGCCAACCAGTGTTTGTGAGGACTGTTACCAGTTCCTTCCTTCTACAGCTGTTTGGAGCAGCCAGAGAGAAGAAGACCACAAATCATGGGAACAAGAAGTCTCAGCCAAATAAGGATGGCATTCAGTGATGAGCCAGTCTGTTTTTTTTTTCATTTTTTATGTAGAAGAGGAAGTGTTTATAACATCATATCCTTTTGAACAATCATGAAATGATGTAATCTGTAGTTACCATATTTATTCGTGTATAATACGATCTCATGTATAATACGACCCAGCTTTTTGAGCTTAAAAAGCATAAAAAATTTAATCCTCAAACTACCTCCAATTTCATACAGACTTCAAGATTTTTCAGCCTTTGCAGTCTTTATACATTTCAGTAAAATGATCATTGGACTGTTCATTTTATTTTAACAACATATGTACTAAAAGGTATTTTGACAACAAATATACAGAGGTGGGACCAAGTCAGTGTTTTGCAAGTCTCAAGTAAGTCTCAAGTCTTTATCCCCCAAGTCTCGAGTCAAGTCTCAAGCAAAGACAGTCAAGTCAAGTCAAGTCCCAAGTCTGAAACTAGGAATTTCAAGTATCCTCGAGTCTTTTTTAAAACCAATGTTGCAATTATATGTTAAATGTAAATAATGAACCATGTGTTCTTTTTTTGGTGGTAAAATAAATATTTGTCAGTTCAAGTAGGGGGTTCAATCTACAGTCTTTGTTGCCAGTTTCACATCTCAGTATTGATAAAGATGTTGTGTGAATCAAGCTTGGCAGAATCACTATCCAAGACACAAAATAATGTGCTACACTGTGGGTTAACTACTCCACTGAGTGTTATGTGCAGGGTCCTTACTATTGTACATTTTTAATTCTAACAGGAAATTCTGAAGGATAGCAAAATAACTGGATTTTGTTTTGTTTGTTTTGGAAATGGGCAACATGTGACCCCCACGCCACCACTTGATGAGTTATAACTGAAAAAAAAAACTGTAGACTTAGTACAATGACTGCAGTAAACAATCTATTTATTATCAATATATTTTCTCAATGTAGTTCAAATACACAATCCATCCTCAGATTAAACTGGACCCAGTTCAGCAATATGATGGGAACAGAGAGAAACTCTCTTCCCTGAGTTCAAGTACAGAACCTGCTTCCTGAAACGGACCATCCACCAGCAATCATGAACTAAAACGCTGAACATTATTCGTGGACGCACTTGAAGGACCGGATTTATATAGCATGACAAAACATAACATACATGTTAAAGCTAAGAAGTATCATCAACGTAGTCCAGAGTACACATGTTAATAACATGAAGTTAGCTAAAGACAGCTAGCAAAGGAAAAGTAGCACCTAACGTTCTTTGTGCAACTTCAAATGTCAAAGTTGGAAGTTGTTTCATCTGTCTGTGATTCTCTAATTGCAGGTTTTGCATGTTGCACTTTATTTTTTATTGAGTACTTCGTAATTTATGCTGCTACAGCTGATATATATTTTAAATGTATATCAGCTGTAGCAGCATCATATGAATTCTGGCATTTTACACATAGTCCACCAGGAGGCGCCAACACAAAAGTCAGAGACTTCATATGAGATTTGGACCATCTTGTGGGGCAAAAGCAGATTACTTCCTACTCGCGAGCGCCCCCTCTGGTGGGGAAACTTTTTTTTCAGGGATACAAACTTTTTCAGAACACCGGTAGATGGCAGCCATTACAGACGAACATGTGTTTGTTGTTATTCGAGGAGCGGCTCAGTCACACACTAATGTCATTAGTTTGTTATCATTACTGAGCTGCAGGACTAGTTTTCCCCCTTTCTTTCACATCATGTCTCCTGCCTGGATCTGTTATTATCTTGCTCTGAAGCACGGAGGAGTCAGAGGTGAGCTCGTTTCAACTGCTTTTTACGACGCGGTCTCATTTCCGGACTCAATAATTTTGCCGATATTTCATTTAAAATACATAAGTAAAAATATTTATCCGAGTATACTACTACCCTCCAACTTTATGGATGATTTTATGGATTAAATTTTACATATTATACATGAATAGATACTGTAGTTCCTTGGCTAGACGCAGGGAATGAGTATGCATGTTTATGAAAAAACATCACCGAAGTTTAGAAAAACCCTATGCACGACAGAAAACATGGCTTTTTGAGGATTATTGGGGATCTTTGCTATGGGAAACAGGCGGCAGTTTACCACTGCTTGACTCTTCTGTTACCCTTGATTCATTTTGGTCTGGGGGCGACAGGAGGGTTTAGCTCAGCTGCAATGATCTTAGTTACATTACTTTTTGTCTTTTTTCATTTTTTGATTCAGATTAGAGCATTGACGGGATCGTTTGCTGTAACTAAATTTATTTACAGTAGCGACAATTTCTACTGTATTTCACTTGTGATTTTTTATTTTAATATATCAATTTTTCTGTAACCTTTTTTAAAGTTCAACACATTCTTATTTTTGTTCACCTTAAAGGGGCAATATCGTGTGAAATCAACTTTTTTGAGTTTTATATCATGTTATAATGTTATACTCTCATAAAAACATGTCCAAAGCCTTGCTCTGACTCATTCATGCATGTTTGAGAAATCCTGCAGCGTTTTTAGGAAGCCATGCTGAGTTGCAAAACGAGAGGTGGGGACCAGAAACGCCTTTGGGGGCCAGAAACGCCCCTGGGA